TGGTTCCATATGTTGGCCGTGTCTCACCAGAACCAACCAAGATTTCTATATCTTTGCTTGTTCCACATACCAAGTGGGTACCAGTAACATAAAGCAGACAGTGTTGTTCTCACACTCATCACGTTGATCCCAATGGATACAACCACATTTTATCGTTTTACTGTACAAATTAGAAGTAGCTGCACTTCAGTTGCAGAATCAACGGACATGTGTACCTAAGTAACAAGTTCTCTTTCGATATAAAATAGATCGATCGTGATAAAGGAACCGTTGCAAGTTACTAAGGTTAAGGTGATATTACAAAGACATCGAGCGACGATCATCTTTATCAAGCAGTGTTATTTTGAAGGACAGCACCATGACTTCTTCTCCTCATTGAAGTGCTATGGCAAACAGGAGAGAAATCCGAGCTTGGCCGACAAGAGCGTTTTGAATCGATCGATCTGATCGATCGATTCGAACGAAGGACTGGTACGGTGGTAACGGAGGTAAGCATACCTACCGATACATCAAGAGTTAGTTTGAAGGTGGCAGATTCGAAAGCCATCCACCTATTGAATTTCTATGGACCACAGGAAGGCAGTCAGATCTCGCCCGTCAACAGGTGAGTTGCCAAAGTTGGTGCAATTTGAAAAGCAAGGGTAAGTCACTGATTTTCTCAGTCAGCAAGAACAAAACTCATATCTCATTTGTTTTTTTCTCTGCACTGCCGACGGCCGGCGAACTACCATTGTCGAATCCTTTTCGATCGACCGCTCCCGGATAACAAGAAGATGAGAGGCTACGCTACGGAGAGGAGGCTCTGTTAACCCCAGCCCTACCAACAGCCTGAACAGAGTGAGCCTATTCGTCGAGTCATTGAAAGGCAACAGCACCGGAAGAGGCAACAACACAAAGAGAGTGAATCCTCCTACCGGATTCATCCCTTCTTATTCTTTCCTACTGTTTTGGCGGTGATTCCTGTGCTCGGACCCATTTTCCTGAATGCCAAGTCAAGTACTGTTGCCACTGTCGTATGTAACTGTACGGATAGCTAGCTATACGATGGTTGGATTGACAATGTTCGGATTGTGCATGTATTTCGTCATAGGGATCCAATGCAAGGTACCGGTAACGGGTGTAGCCAGTAAAGCGGAACTGTGAGTGGTTCGGACTGTTGCCACTGTCACGGATCGATGTAACTCTACGTAACTGCCCGCTACAATGGCTGGATTGACAAAATTCGGTTGTGCATGTATTCGTCATAAGGATCCCAATGCGAGGTACCGGTAACGTAGCGAGCAAAGCCGAACTTTCGTTACTGCTGCCACTGTCGTCGATGTTAAGCTATACGGCAGCGGTACTATGGCTGGATTGACAATTTTCGTTGTGCATGTACTATTCGTCATAAAGGATCAATGCAAGATACCCAGCAACGAGTGTAGCAGCAAAAGCGGTACCTGAGGAGTTCGTACTGTTGACACTAGTCGCCGATGTAACTATGAGTAGCGGCTCAATGTTCTGATTGACTATATTCGGTTTGTGCATGTATTCGTCATAAGGATCCAAACAGGTAACCGAGTGCAGCGAACAAAGCGGAACCTGAGTGTGTTCGGACGTTGCCACTGTCGCCTGATTAATGAACTCTAGGTAAGTTAGCTACATGGCGGGATTGACAATGTTCAGTTGTGACGTGTATTCGTCATATAAGGTGCGAGGTACCGGTAACTGTAGTGAGCAAAGCCGAACTTTCGGTACTGCTGCCACTGTTGTGGATGTAGCTATACCGCAGCCGGCTACAATGGCTGGATTCATATTGTTCGGTTGTGCATGTATTCGTCATAAGGATCCAATGCAAGGTACCAGGTACCAGTAACGGAGCGTAGCGAGCAAAGCCGAAGCTGAGTGTGTTCGGTACTATTGCCGATGTAACTTTACGGCAGCTAGCTACAATGGCTGGATTAACAATATTCGGTTGTACATGTAACTGTTGGTTGAGGCAAAGGGATACAGGAGACGAGCGCTGAAAAAACCCGAATTCAATCGAGTGACAGTCAGTCGACACATGCAAACTAAGGGTTAAGGCTTTTTCTCTTCTCAACGCACAAACCCAAAAAGGACACCGGAGGTGTAATAGATATACCGGGCGAGCTGAATTAAAAGATGAGCCGACATAGTAATATTGTTGAAGTTTGGCTGAAGTTAGTGTCATTAGATTGTTCGGTCTGGACCTCTGTGGAAATGTCATTCGTGGCAAATTACTTAAAAGACGATACATCAAGGCTTAAGAGACGATCGAAATGATTTAAGAGACGAAAGCTTTCGTCTTTTATATTTAGGAGACGATTCATTAGGAGACGTTGCATTTAGGAGACGATCGTTTCGAAATAGGAGACGATCCGAAAGATTTAGGAGACGAAACCATACAGTTTACATGGTGCACTTAGGAGACGATCCGTTGAGAATAGGAGACGATCCGTTGAAAATAGGAGACGATTTAAGAGGAGACGAAAGATTTAAGAGCCGATCCGTTTCGTCTCCTATTTTTAGGAGACGAAATCCATTAAATAGGAGACGATCAAAAGGATTTAAGAGACGATCGGTTGCACGACTCGAGTTTCCACAGAGGTCCTGAGAAAGTGGCTTGATAGCTTAAGGGAGTTTAGAGGTGTGCAATGCGAGTAATTAGATTTTCCCATCTGAGGAAGTGGCTTGGTAGCTTAAGGGAGTTTAGAGATGTGCAACGCAAGTCATTGGATTTTTCCGTCTGAGGAAGTGGCTTGGATGCTTAAGGGAGTTTAGATGTGGGCAATGTGAGGAAACTATCTATTGGGATCCGTTGCTATGATTATGAGAAAGTGCGAGGAATTCGGAAAATGAGGGCCCACGTGGGGGCTGAAGTCCATTAAATAAAACACTAACCCTAAGGATAACCAACCAAAGCCCACCACCACCACAAATATAAGGGGGGTTTTAGATGGCCTCAGAGATCACTGGGGTCTGCCCGATATAAAGTTCACTTTCCGAGGCAGACCATGGTGGTGTTGTTGACTTGCAGTTGCCGAAGAAAAAGAAGAAGAGCAGGAGTGCTGTTGTTGTTGTTTGCTGTCTTGTTTTCACTCCTCTGTTGGAACGTTCATGGCGAAGATCGGTACGGTGACGACTACTATGTCAGCGAAGAAGAAGATGAAGAAGAACCGTATGACGACGAAGAAGCACCCGAGTATGACGACATGATCGTCGGAGACATGTGGCACTACTTTGATTGCTCCTTTATCTTTAGCCGACCACGACCGGTCCATTCTGAAACCGATTGGAAATCGATGCGCCATGCATATGCCGCCGTGGTGGGTTTGGAACGATCCAATAGGATTGCCGAAAAAGATGGAGATGGCTTTGCCGTTCCCGTCCAAGCGCGATCGGCCGGTGATGAGAAGGGTCGCGGGGTGTTTGTGACGACGGCACCCGTCCCAAAGGGACAATTGGTGTGGTCCACCAGCATGACAGCACGATTTGAAATGGGTAGCGAGTATCGAGCCTTTTTGGCCAAAATACGACAAGACTTTGCGTGTGATGTCCTCCAGTGGGCGTATGTGCAGTCCATTTCGGATCAATCGGCAGAAGTCGACAAACCGTTGGTCAGTGTCGATTTGGATGCGGGATCTTTCATCAATACAGTGACGGAAGAAGACGAAGAGCCCAATTTAGGATGTCATGAACAAGCAGCATTGGAGCACAAGGGAGGATGCCAACAGAATTACTTTGCTCTCAAGGATATCCAAGTCGGGGAGGAACTGCTCCTGGATTATGGAGATTTTGCAATCCGTGAGGGGTGGGAGTGGTTTGGATTGTAGTCTAGCTAGTTTGAAAACATCAAATGTGTACAGAGACAGATCATTCTAGAGACACTCAAACGAACATTTGCCTGGAATTCTTTCCTGTGGTCTGGCTGAGACAAAATGCACACTTTCGTAAACTTCGAACAAGTTCCCTCTGGAAGGGTTGCAGCTGCTATGGCGGGTTGTGGGTGTTTTGAGACGAATGAAATAGAATCTGTGTGCTAGCTAGCTAGGTGAAGTCAATAACTTATTGTCATTCGTACAGTACCACAGCAACTGTAATCGTCCGAAAACAAATGAATTTTGATCCCTTTGTTGTTTCAGTGGATGGCATGCTTGCCCCTCAAGCCAAGACTCTCTTACAACGCCTTGCTTCTGCTACTGCCTCCAAAACTCAATTACAATTTTCCTACTCTCAAAGATGTTCTTCATGCAGACCGTATCTCAATTGCCCTTGTAAAGCTACAATTTATGTCTCCGTGGATCCGCAAAGCCAAACCCTTTGCCCCCCGTAATGGTCCTCCATTTCTCGCCTGATCCCACAGAACCTAGTCCTGAATTTCGACTGTTCTTTGCTTAAGCCTGGCCCGGCTGGCTTCGTAGATAATTTCCCTACTCTAAACCCCCTTATATGTTATTTTGATCGAGTACGAACTGGTGTCAGGGCAATCAGGACCAAAATGCATGCACAACGAACGAAACACACAATTACACATGTACGTAGTCTTACATGTTATACGTCTTCAATCCAGATAAGTAACCTTAACATCAATATTATAGCAATAGCAGTAGAGAAGTTCCCAGTCCACCAAAAAGATGCTTACTTTTAGCGGACATGACGCTGGACAACTCCGTAGCAACTATACCGTAGTGACCGGTAACACATCATGCTTCATTCTTGGCCCAAGCCGGAAGATACAAGACGGACCACTCTGGCCGCTATCGGTAGCTAGCTGTAGAACGTTCCACCAGGGAGATCTGGTTGAAACCGACGCGAGTCCAAACGGCTTGTGTTGTTGCTTGCTGTTGCGTTTTGTACTGGTTGTGACATCACAGATAACGCCGGGTTGTGAGAGAGGACATGGACTACAGCTGCCCACGACTTGTGGCCGGTGCGGGTTGGATTAAGACAAGATCCCATCATGGGAGTCCTGTTGTTGCTCTTGAAAGCAGAGAGATTGATGGTAGCGACGTGAGTTTGCTGCAATGTTGCTGTTGTGGTGGCTGAAGGTTTGTGGTGTTGTAGTTCGGGATGTACCCTTGGCCAAAAGGGGCGGCAGTGGCTGGACCAGCAAGTGGAATTATTGGATGCCGTGCAAATATTGGAGGTTGCTGCTGGTTTGGAACAGGCTGATATACTTGGGGTTGCTGCTGCTGTACGTGCCGATGGCAAGGTTGTTGTTGCTGTTGCATTAACACTGTGCAGCAGCCATCAAGCTGGCAAGAGGAGCATTGGCTGCTGCTGTCCCACATTATTATTATAAGTGGGGTGAACTGCGGCTGGAGCAGGCTGTGGAGCAGATGCTAATTGCTGTTGCACTTGCAGCAGCTGGGGCAGCAGCATTGGATTGGGGGCCGCCTGTGGTGGTTGCTGGGGTATGGGGCTGACCAAGAAGGGATTGCTGTTGGGAAACAATCCTCCTCTCCCAGACGTTTGCGCGCTCACAATTTGCGAAACAAGCTGTTGCATCGCAAGGAGTTGGTTACTGTTGTTGGGCACAGTAGTATTGGGCGCAGCAGGAGGTGGCGGTGGAGCAGGTACAGGGGGAGGAGGTGGCGGTGGAGCAGCCTTCTTCCTCTTGGCGTCTTTCTTTCCTGACGTTTTCTCTTGGCTTCATCCTCCTTTTTCTGTTTCTCCTCTAGCTCCTTTTCGTGTTTCTTTGATAGGCTTGAGCCTGCGCCAAACGCCGGCTGAGATCTTGGTTGATTTCCTTGAGCTTTCTATTCTTTCGCTTGAGCTCTTTCTTCTGCGACTTGAGCATCCCCCGGATAAAACGGCGCTGGGTCCGTTCTCGGACTCGTTCCATGCGATCATCCTTTCGACGAATGCGGGCCAGAGCGTACTCGTCTAGCTGCTGGTTGGCTTGCATTGGTGATGGTTTTTTCTTCGTGGACTTCTGTTGTCCTGTGGTCGAATGTTGGAGGCTACTTGGCTGTCACGCCGTCGCTGCCTCATTATTGATAGGTTGGAAGGAAACACATGTAGTCATCCGGAGGACGGCCACCGCTACAAAGCCGATTCTTGGGAGGGGGCTTTTGATCATCTTCCCGAATATATTGTTGCTGCTGACCAGCCCATGGTTCCCTTTTTCGTTCCCTACTACCAGAATCCTTTAGGCCACCAAAGGTAGAAGTGCTCGTATCCGTAAGGCTCACCGAAGCTGCAGCTGCAGCCGCGGGGTTCTTCTTTTTGCTGGCGGCAGTGTGGTCTCTTTTTGGTGGGCTTGTTGTTTAAGGTACCACTTGCACGCTGATCCTCCGATTTTCTCTTGCGGGTGTAGCGTCGACTACTAAGAGCTCTCTTGGTGTCGCCTTGGGTATCCATGGTCCTCACACACGCCTAATTAGCACCGTGCGAAAATAAAGAGACACCAAAGTAAAACAGGACAACTGACAAGAGTGCACTAAGCCTGGTATGAGAAGTTCAGCTTCAAAACAAGCATGATAACCACACAAGAAAGACTGCCTTGACTTACCAATCAACCAATGGCGACACTCACTCTCTGAGTCAAGCCTGGGATAGATTCAGTTTTGGTTTGTTGTGATGACTCGTTGTCGTTCGTTCCAAAGCTGTTGGATGTAGCGTGGTGAATGGCTGTCTAAAGAGTCGAGTCTTGCGCAGGGCCTGCCTGTTTTCTTCTTTCAGATGCAACGCTGTAATACCTGTTTTTGATGTTGTTGCTGTAGCTGGTTTTGAGTGTTGTAATGCTGGGTGTTTTGGGGCGTGCGTTTGTGGAAACCGCAGATCATCATGGTGACTACGGTACCGGTACACTGTACTATTCCGCGTCAGGAAAACCAGAAACACAAAGAATGAGAATGGAAGCTATGAAACAAGCATGTTTTTACGGTACTATCACAAATAGTTTAACACGGTTCTGGGCTGTTTCCTCTGGCATGATAGTTTGGTTCAACCACTTTTCTTTCTCGCACAGCTCCAAATCTGGATGTCATTGCGAATGCTAATCAATCCTTGAAGGCCTCTGTGGGTGAAGCCCACCGCCACTGATCTTCTACGTGATTGACACCGAATTAGAGTATGTAGGGAGGTGATCTACGAAAGCCAGCGAGGGCCAGGCTTTTAAAAGCAAAGAAGAGCACTGACTGACGAGTCGAGTGACAGTCGTTATAGCAGCTAGCTACGGTATGGTCTACTGCAGTGCTGCTTGGTAAACCTAACTCAGGAAGGGTCAACAGTGCGAGGATTGGGCTGCAACAATCTGCCTGACTTTGACGTAAATCAGTAAGCAGAAGAAAAGACATTCTCAGAGTTTTGGAGTTAGTTCTAAAGTGAGCTGCCAACTTTTGGTGCCACAGTAGGCTTCAAAGAGACAATAGTAACCACAGAGTCTACCCACCATGCCACAGTTCTGGTTGCTTGGTGCCACCAGAACTCTAGCCTGTAGGCTTGTCTCTGTCAAATGTTTAGCACGCTCACTAAGTCTTTTGCTGCAGTTGATAAAGGCATACATCCCACTAACGTACACGATGAACACATGTACCAATACTGCATTTGCAATGCGAGTGATGAGGAGAGAACCGATGCTGGCGAAGAGAAGGTTGATGCTTTTACTGGTTGGTACGGCGTGAGAACACAGTTTAGCACTGAGATTGAATTTAGGATACGAGAAGCTTCCTAGATCTAACTGACGCCATTGGTTACTGAAAGAGCAGGGTGTTTCGCCAGAGCAACAGAGGACGTGGCAATGTTGGTGAGGCTATAGCTCAAAGAATGCTGAGACATTCTTTTCAAAAGAGAAGCAACAACATGTACATGTATTTTAATGAAACACTGACGTCAGTGGTTTCTGACAGGTTGTTTCGCCTGGCCAGCCCAGCAGTGGATCCGGCAATGTGCGGGGGCCATAGGTCGAAGATCGCTTTGCCGACATCGACTTCCCAGCCAGCAATCTTTGGCCGGCCGGCTGGCGATTCCGGGAAGCACACGGACCTTCTTACGAGTAGTTAGATACGATTTACCTGAGCTTTTAATGGATATTTCCCGTGTGTACCATTTCTAGGTTTGACTTTTACACGGATATGGTGTTGGAGAAGGTGTTTGCTGACAAAAAATGGGTTATAGTAACACACTCCAGGTCGAAATTGAACCAGCTAGAATAATCTAAGTTTTCAGCTGGTGATTGAAGACAGATGCTTCTTCTTCGATGCGTTGTCCCGTGTTATTGCAGACCTAAAAACTGCAGCAGGCTTGTTTCGGGTTGTTGTCGGTATGATTTGCGGTGTTTTGCGTAACTAGACTAATTTCCTCTAAACAACTCCCCTCCAGCACAGAACAGCAAAAAGCAACATTGAAGCAACCAAATCATTCATGGCCCTGTCCTTTCTCAGAAGTCGGACGTAATACAGTACACACATCAGGTTGTAGCATCAGATGCTCCTTTATAGAAGGAACAAAGACTAGTTACGTTGCCCAGCAACATCCAAATAGAGCTGAAGCTGAGTGAGGGGTATACGGTACGCAAATGAATTCTTCGGGCGCGGACGAGGACGAGAACGATGCAGACGCCAAGGCGAAGCCCGGGCAAGGAGAGTCGTCTTTGGATGACGGAGCTCCTCGCGAAGATGCCGCAGATCAGGGAGAATCATCAGAACAACAGAAGCGTCTAGCGGAGGCTGATGATGCTATGCAAGAAGATGAGGAAGAAGAAGCCAAGAGACCGCCTCCATCTCCCGACGAGAATGACGGGGAAGACGGGAGAAGGAGCGTTGATACCGAGGGAGATTATGGCAACGCAAGTCCTCCTGAAGTTTACGTAGGGCACAATGAGTGGATAAGCACGAGATCCTTCGCCCGCGGTATCGTCCAACAGTATTTGGCGCAAACTGAAGACACCAATGTCACAGAAACCGCGAGTTCATCAGGGGGCGGACTTAGCAGCGGTAGCTCGGGCAAAAAGTTCAGCAGCGACAGACCAGGTAGGGGAAAACGGTCCGCTAGCAGCAGTGCCTCCAAAGAGGATGGTTCCGCAAAACATGTATTCTCCAAGCCAAAGCAAAAGTATAATCCAAAAGAAGACATGAAGGCTCCTCCAGGCGAGTCCAAAGAGGAAAGACGGAGAAGAATGAACCGAATCACGGGGAGGCGCAAACGGGCAAAGATTGTTATAGAGATTGATGGGCTAATTGAACATTGCCACGAGTTCACTGCTTCCAACCAAAAGCTCAAGGACGAAAACAAACAGCTCAAGAACAGCATTTCCAAGGTCAAGGAGCTGCTTTCCGAAATGAAACTCCCGGCCAACGGAGCCAGCAAGGCACGGGACGCATTTGCAAACATGTCTTATGGTGAGCTAGTATCTTTGTTCATAATCAATGTGACTGTCGTACCGGGATCTTGTTGGCTCACTTGCTCCTTCTCTCAAAATCTCATCTCAGACGAGGTACCAACCACTGAAGCTCTACAAGCAGCTGCCGCGGCTCTCCAGGAGAGGCGTCAGCAGCCCCCTTCGCAGCCAATTCCGGCACAACCTCAACAGGCACCAAATCCACCTCAAGTAGCACAGCAGCCCCAAGGGACAGCAGCAGTGCCAACGCAGGAAAACTTTCAAACGGCGTTGAATTCGGCTGTTCAGCAGATCATGACGGCGAATCAAGGGGCTGCCTCCAACAATACGACTGCGCCTAATAACACCAACACTGTTGTGGTTATGCAACCACAGCAGCTCCAGCAAGCTGTACAACAAGGCATGCAACAGGCTTTCCAAGCGATTTTTTCTGCGGCGACCCAACAGATGCCTGCTCAACAGCAACCTGGGATGATGATGATGCCTGCTCATCAGCAACCCGGGATGATGATGCCTGCTCAGCAATCTGGGATGATGATGATGCCTGCTCAGCAACCTGGGATGATGCCTCCAACGAATCCTTTCATGGCAATGCTAGGATTTCCCATGCAACAGCCTCAAGTGTACCAACAACCGGACCCGAACGTTGCAATGGCGCAGCAAATTGTACAGGCACTACAAATGTCAGCTGGCTCTGTTCCAATGCAAGCTCTGCAGCAGCCTCCTCCTCAGCAACCAATGCAAGTTCAGCAGCCTAATCCTCCTGCCCAGAGCCCTAATCCCAATTCGATGCAACCCAACCAACAACAACAAAATTCCCAAAACTCCATGCAGCTGCAATTTCCAATGCAAGCTCAGCAATTCCTTCAAATGCCACAGCAGCAGCAACAAGTCCCCGGCCAGAACCAACTATTACAATTTCAACAGCAATTCATCTCAGCTACGCAACAGCAACAGCCTGCTCCTCCGGCTCCAGCTTACTCTCCAATGCAAAATCAACAGCCTCCTCCCGTCCAACAGCCCACGTCAGCAACTCAAGCTCCCCAAGCTCCTCAAATCGTTGTACAGCCACAAGCGGGGCAACAACAAGCACAGCAGCCCACAGAACAACAACAGCCGCCAAATCAGCAAGCTATGCTCGAGCTGCTACAGCAATTCTATCAACAGAACCAACCACCACAAGGAGACAATAGTCACGCAGGAAACCGATAGAAGAATAAGGCAAGACACGTCAATTGATTTCTAGTAATTTTTGCTAGTACATTGGCCTGCCCTGGCCCCATGCATTTTGATCATTATGTCATCTTGAATCCTAGCTAATAGGGACTTCCTTCTCGTTGCCTCACCCTAACTTGCTACCTAGCTAGATGCTGGTACTTGGAAAAAGAGAGCAACCACCTCCAAATCCTCAAGCAATTCCCGAGCTGTTCCAGCTCTCCTATCAACAGAATCAACCGAGACGACTGGCTGTCCTACAGTACAGGAAGTCGGGCGATTGATTTTTAGGAAAATTTAGTACTAGCTAGTAATAGCTACAGTAGTACTTACATGCCAATACCTTGGCCTGCTGTTGAGGCTCCAGCAGCTTGAGGATCCTTCCAAAAAGACTAGTAGACCAGGAAGGCAACCGGTTGGCGATAGTTAGTCGCGTTTACATAGCAAAAGTCGTTGTAAAGTCGCTAAAGCACAGTAAAGTCGCTATGAAAGTCGCGATAAAGTCGCGGTAAAGTCGTGCGCGACTTTAAAAGTCGCGGTAAAAGTCGCGGTAAAGTCGTGGTCAAATATAGCGATTTTGTTAGTAAAGTCGCGGCAAAGTCGCGGAAGTCGCGGAAGTCGCGGTAATAGTCGCGGTAAAGTCGTGGTAAAGTCGTTCGCGACTTTTAAAGTCGCGAAAGAGCGCGACTTTTGGCGCTTTTTGCGACTTTCAAGAAAACACGACTTTATGACGTCACCGGGTGCCTTCCAGAGGGATAGAAGGCCAGTGTGCCATGATCATCCCTCTCCTCCTTAAAAGGGCCCAGGAGTGGCTGATAATCCGCGAATCGTGGCACGATCCGCGGATTTAGCGGTTTTCCACGAATCCGCGATCCACGAAACGATCCGCCGATCCGCGAATAACCGCGAATAACCGCGAGAATCCGCGAGATTTAAGAACCAGCTCCTCTATATCTTTTAAAAGTGGCATCCTAAATCTCGCGGATTTTCGCGGTTATTCGCGGTTATTCGCGGGCGCGGATTCGCGGAAGAGGTGCTCGCGAGTCCCGTTTTCAGGCGCTCCAGGGGAACTCATTGTCCTACTAGCAGCTGTCCTAGCAGCCATGGCAGCTGGGTTGGAGCTCCGGATGAGTCAGGGTAGGATGCATAGGTATCCATGGCAAGCTGGTATCAATGTCAAGCTGGTATCAATTGCCCTTTTTTGTTGCCGCTCCATGCCAGCTTGGTCGTTCCAAAAAGGTTTTGAGCGTACCCATTGCAGGAACTCAATACTACTCTAGAGCAAGCTACTCCGCCGATTTAGTTGAGAATTTTGAGAATGGTGAGAATTCGCCTGGAACACTGTGGAATCACCAGATCACCACACTTTTGAAATTATCTGCTTGTTCCTGGTTGAGCACATCCTCATCAACAAACAGACCACAATGGCTGTCAAAGATAACCTAGCAGTTTATCCAATAGAGTCGCCCTAGCAATACTTTGAGATAGGGAATACATAATTTGGATGTGGCAGTCACAGTGGTGGCAATGGCTTGCCCATTTGGCGGCCGTGGAAGTAACGAATGACTAGCAAAGTGGGGAACTCATTTTTGCATTTACTATTGCTGCCACCGGTCTCCAGTTGATCTTAAATCCCAATTCTGGTTGAACCAAGCCCAACCATTGCAGTCATGGATACATCTATACGGTCAAGGAAGTCTGGAGACAGCGAAGCTGCTGTTCCTACTCGATCGTCTAAAGAGGAGCCAGCCACCATGCTTTCAACGAAAGGTGTGTCGTCGAACGGAAGACGCTGCCGCTGTTTCCGAAGAGTAGTAGTACGTCAAACGTAATTAGTAAAGAAGAGTCAAGTCAAGCGGTGCTACTGTTGTCATTGATACCGGTAGCACATGTAGCTGCTACTGGGGGTACCCATGGTATAGTCGTCATGGTCGCTCCGCAAAAGACTCTCTGGAAGCTGTCATCGATTCGTCGAACGCAAGAAGCATAACCAAACGACTCACTCGCTAGAGGAGCCTGCCATGTTGGAGACTTGACTCTTCAAAAGACTTCTTCAAGAGTAGTACCAGTATCCGCTGTAAACAGTAAGGATAAGAGGAGGTATGGTAACATCATCTTGATGCGATTGCAATACACGGCTCTTAGCCTTATTCGCGACTCGATCCTAGATAGGGGGTTCTCAATGACGCGCTAGTCATACTAGGTTGATGATGAACATCGCTCTAGATATTTAGCCAGCGTGGAGAGTTCCACGTACTAGATCAGGCTAGACAACTTCCACGCGTTCCGGTTAGGATCGTGGAGAGACGTAGGATTACTACCAACACCTACTCTATCACACTTTATAGTCTCCCGCGAGAAGCCAGATCTACGAATCCCTTGATGATGCTCTCTCTGTTGATTAGTTTTCATAGCTTTCTAATCTCTCTCATAACTTTCATTCTCTCAAACTCAAAACACTTCGAAAGATCTTTACACTAGTTTTAGCGTAGTGCATTTTTGTTAACAAACACAATAGCTTTCAGCTACCCTCAACCTATTCCTTCACTGAAGATGGCTCAAGGAAAGCATGCTTCGCAACTTCGAGAACAGTTGCGTGAAAAACCATTCTTCCTCTCTCGACAATGACGAAGAAAAAGAGATGAGACACTCGTGCCACCATTGCAAACTTCGCAACCATGTTGCCAAGCGCAATCAGAAACTCTGACAATGAGGAAAACTCCTCTATCATTTCAATCACTTGGATGGAGAAATCTCTATCTGAGGATTAGGCCAGGATGATGACTCAACGGAACCCTGTTCCGATTTCTCAATACAAAGTGATGAAGATATCTCACTAACTAGTAAACAAGAATTGTTTGCAACTGATGACTCTACGGCAAATTAGATGATGCCTAGAACTGCTCAACTAGACTCTGATGATTCTATTTAGCATCTTTAACCTCGTCGTGCCAACCACTCGTAAACGTCGCAAGACAAGAGACCTCAAACATCGTCTATGTTAGATTTAACAAGCGAGAAAAAGGGAAACAAAAACCTTACACTCCGTTGCTTACTGGATACAGGAGCATCTGGAACTTGATTGCTCAAACTCATGCTAAAAATTACGCATGAAGGATCTTGGGGCGTCAAACATTGGACTACCCTGCAGGAGAATTAAAACCAGCACGAAGTGCAAAGGTGCATTCATGATTCCTAATTCCAAGAGATAGAATTATGAGTGGGATTTACACGTCACCAAAGATTGGGGGCGTATGACATGATCATAGGTCGAAACATTCTCTCTGATTAGGATTTAGTTCGATTTCAACTACAATGTCAGTGGAATGGGACGGCGCATCTATTCCTATGAAAGACAGCGACACAAGAAGAAGAGAACTTCTTTATTCCTGACTACTGTTGATGACAGTGAGATGTCTCAAGAAGATTCTTGCATGCGAAATCGAACAAGCTGACTTAAAAGGCAGGTTTGCAAAGTCAAGATCAGTTAAAAGGAAGAGAAGGAACAGCTTTCATTCCTTACTGACGAAGTTACTCTGACCTATTCGATGTACTTTGGGAAAGTGGCGATGGACGACTACGAAGTAGAACTTCTCCCTGATGCTAACCCTATCATGCAAGTTTACCCTATTCCAAGGGCCATACCAACACTCTTAAGATGGAGGTTGAACGTCTCTGCGAGGCGGAGTACTCAAGAAGGTAAACCGTTCCAGTGGGCGGCACCAACTTTCATCATTTCCAAGAAAGACGGATCTGTACGTTCATCTTGATTTCCGGAAACTAAACAAAAGGAATTAAGCGGAACCTTATCCTATCCCAAAAAAACAGGAATGCTCTTGAATCTAGATGGATTCAAGTGCGCTACTAGTCTAGACCTGAACATGGGTACTACACAATCGAGCTGTCACCTCACTCGAAGCAACTTGTACCATCGTACTCCCGGGGGAAAGTAGAGTACCAAGGTTGCCAATGGGCTATGTAATAGTCCCGACATCTTCCAAGAAAGATGGGAACACTAATGCACGACCTAGAATATGTCCGTGCATACATTGATGATCTACTCATCCTAACTAACGGCGATCTAGCAGATCACGTTGAAAGTTGATGAAGTTCTCCGAAGGCTTCGAGAAGCCGGACTCAAGATCAATGCTACCAAGTCCTTCTTCGCAAGAGGAGAATTATACTAGGTTACGGATTACTCGAAAGGATCCAACCTATAACCAAGAAATAGACGCGATCAAGAATATGGCTCCTCCTACCAAACAGGAAGAACTCGTAGATTATTGGACTAGTGAATACTACGAGACATGTGGATTAGACGATCACATGTACTGGCCCCACTCGCTTTCGTTGACTTCCAAAACAACGAAGTGGAAAATGGGAAACCGAACACGACAAGCTTTAGACCAGATGAAGAAGATCATCAACAAGGAAACCTTGCTCGCCTACCTTGACTTCAACGATACTTCGTTATCCACACGGATGCGAGTGAACTCAACTAGGTGCAGTAATTATCCCAGAAGGGAAAACCATCATCGTTCTACAGCAGGAAGCTCACCCTGCTCAGCACGCTACACAGTTACCGAGAAGAAACTTTCTAGTATGTAGAACTCTGAAGAGTTCCGTACATTCTTCTAGGACAGAAATCGTTGTACATACGGACACAAAGAATCTTACATGCAAGAACTTTAATGACGATCGCGTAATGCGATGGGCCTTATTCTGAAGAATACGGCCCTGAACACGGTACATCAAGGGCGAATAGACATCGTCGCTGATGCAGTTGTCGAGAGACTTAACATCTTCCAACAACGACGGTTCTTCAGAACAGATGGACGCCAGAGAGATCGCTGAACTCATGGCTGCAGACGAAGGGACTTCCCTAGCGAGTTCCTCTCTCGTTCCCCGAGATCGAACATCGTCAGAAAGGACGCAACATATCAAGAAGCTCCTCAGGGACAAGCAAAACGATCAAGAAACAATCTTTCCCCAGAGGGGATAAGTCCTACGATTTAGTAGTTAAGGACGAGAAAATCGTCGTACCTAAGAACTATGAGAAAAGTAGTTGAATGGTACATGGTGTGCTGATGCATTCCTGGCGAGACTCGCACGGAACTAACCATCAGCCAACACTACACCTGGAAAGGTCTCGCAGGACTGTGCAGGCCGTATGTCAGCGTTGCCAAAGCGCCAGATGAACAAACCCAAGACGCGTAAGCTGGGATTGATGCCTCCAAAGACTTGCGAGGAGATCCCTTGGAAAGACTATGTATGACTGATAGGTCCTACAAGTCGGGATCTAAGAAAAAGAATCCTGCACACTTCATTGCTTGACAATGATTGATCCCGTAACCGGATGGTTCGAGATTCACAGAGATCTGCTCCAAGGAGCAGACGGTAGCCATCGTCTTAGAACAACACGTGGCTTACTCGGTATCATGGCCTGCTGAGGTTATCATGGATAGAGGACAGTGAGTACGCGCAGGGTCGAAAGAATCTCCGGGATGAATATGGACATTTGTCGCAGTTCATCACTACGCGAACCCTCAAGCAACTCTATGGTCGAGCGTGCTCATAAAAACATACGTAACTTGATCGCTGGTCAAAACAACAAGTGCCAAGACGACATAGTGAATGGATCCTGGTATGGAGTCCTAACGGCGGTTGGCTTTGCAATGAAGGCCAAGATTCATACCACCATGCGCGCAACGCCCGCACAACCCGTGTTCAATCGTGAACCGATTCACAACGTCCGTTACGAAGCCAACTGGAAGTAAATAAAGGAACGTCGCCCGCTAAATCAAACAAAAACGATGGGAAAACGCAACGGCGTGTCCTCATAGTAAAATGGTAACGATACTGTGATGATTCACAGTATCAGACCGCAAGTACGGTCAGCCAAAGTACAAAGGTCCTTACACTATAAGCCGAGTCAATGACAATGGCATGTACGGCTCCAACATGCAACCGCAACGGCGGCACAGATCTACAAGACTTGGAACATAAGGTATTTACACCCATACAGGCCTGATCCCCTTGTAGGATTGCCATCGTGCGACGCACATGTTTACATCCAAATCTCATGAGAGTGCCGCACTTTAAATCATATGTTCTCCTTGTCCGACTGCTGTCGCGCCTTCTGTGACCCTTGTCAGGGGGCGAATGCAATACACGGCTCTTAGCCTTATTCGCGACTCGATCCTAGATAGGGTTGAGTTCGACCATGACTGAGTCTCTCGTGAATAGTCATCTGAGACAGGGTTCTCAATGACCGCGCTAGTCATACTAGGTTGATGATGAAACATCGCTCTAGATATTTAGCCAGCTGGAGTACTTCCACGCTACTAGATCCAGGCTAGACAGACCTTCCACGCGTTCCGGTTTAGGATCGTGGAGAGACGTAGGCTTACTACCACAACCTACTTATCACACTTTATAGTCTCCCGCGAGAAGCCAGATCTACGATCCCTTGATGATGATCTTCTCTCGTTGATTAGTTTTCATAGCTTTCTAATCTCTCTCAAAACTTTCATTCTCTCAACTCAAAACACTCGAAGATCTTTTACTCTCATAACTTTCATTCTCTCAAACTCAAAACACTCGAAAGATCTTTACACTAGCTTTTAGCGTAGTGCACGATGGTGGAGTTGTGGAGTTTTTTTAAAAACAACACGTCGGACATGGCATGGTCAAGCCCCTTGTAGTTTCGGTAGGGTTGAGGCTATGTTTTCTCTTTAAGTCTTTTCTGTTATATTTAAGTCTTTCGTATCCAACTTTAGGGGTCAGGCTAGCCATTATGGCTCATCATTCCCGCAGTGTTCTTAACACCAGGGTGTAAATATCTTAAACTGTTCTTAAAGATAAGGCTACAAAATCAAAGTGGAAAAAGTACAGGCTGGTTCTGGTGGATTTGCGACTTCGAAGCCAGCCTGTAGAAAACTTGAGAATTCTCAACTAAATCGCCGGAGTAGCAAGGTTGCAGTTGATGTTGAAGCTCCGGATGAGTCAGGGTAGGTATCAATGGTGCCAAGTATCTCAATTGCCCACGGCCGTACCTGGCAACTGCTACAATGCACAAAACCAGAGAACCAAATTTTAATCCAGATCACGTCGCATGTTTGTTCTCTCATCAGGCGATGACTCGTCAGCGTCAGGCATCTCTGTGGCACCTTTTCCTTTTGGTAAAATTCAAATTTATAAAATGTTAAGAACTCGGCGTGTTTCAGAAAAATGCAAAACCAACACTGCAATAAGGGTTTTGGAAGACTGGAAACCGATTTGGCCGCCCAGGACGGCTTCACCGCCCACCCCACCAACAGAACGGTGCTTGCTTGTTGTCCTTCTATTGTTATTTCCTATTGAGTTTTGAACAACAACACTACAACTATCAAGATGAGTGGCATGGGCGTTCGAATGGTGACAGCGGTCGCGAGTGCGATTCGCAGTGCTGGCAAGAGTTTGGACAAGCCAGGAGCCAACATGGAGCTCCTGAAGCTGTCTTGCTGGCTTAGACTAGTCCAAAGATACGATCTTTCTTCGGCACATCACATCACTCATCACATTCATCAACTCCCCACAACCCTCAACCCACAACTCTCTTGCTTGAGCTCTTGCTTGGCAACGGACACAACCTCCAGCTTCTTATTTCCCACCTGAAAGAAAGACGACCAAAATGCTTCCAATATCCTTCACTCTTCGGTTATTGTTCCTTGTCTTTCTCTGTGTTCATGGCTGCTACTCGTTCCATTTTGCAAGCCGGACTTTTCGGATGAGCATGACATACCCTGCATAACCAGCAGCTGTCGCAGCATAAACCCCAGCGTTAAACCAAGCTTGCAGCCTTCTTTTGAACGCAGCCACATACCAAGTTTCCAACCATCACCGGTGCCAACCAACAGCCAATTTCCCTGCTTTTGAACCATCACTAGCTAGAGCCAAGGTGCAGGGGCCAGTGCAGATGGGCCTCCATGATGGAGGAAATGTACTTTAGATGTGATGCTTTGCGCTGGCTCCGCTCAACTATATATAGAATTCAACTTGCCTGAGGGTGTAAACCAGTAAACATAGCGATTCGAATTCTCACGTCAACTTTCGGCTGATCCATTCAGCGACATCCACATCACATCCACCAATGATACCCACGTCCTCTTGCAATTTATTAGTATACACCTCTATTTGTCCTTTTGACTCGCTTTCAAATTTCTCAAATATTCTTCCCCGTGCTTCTCAATAAACCTTTTGAATTCATCGTCGACCGATCTTCCACAGAGGCAACAGCCCTCGAATGAGTCGAGTCTTGTGGGTGGTTCATACGCTTGGCCAACAGACGGTTAGGGGATGGGCAAATCTTGCCATGGCCCTGTACTGGACAGGAGTGTGACTTGCCAAAATCAGTTAAAAAGGCGAAATTCGTATTTTGGCTAGAAGATAAATTTAATTGGATTGCATTGGATTGCATTGGATTGGATTGCATTGAATTGGATTGAATTGGATTGCAAATAGTACTGTTATTTATATAGTAAACTGTAATTCAATGCAATCCAATCTAATCCAATGCAATCCAATCAAATCCAATAGAGAAAAACAGCCAAAGTAAAAGATTGGCTTAGCACACACAATTTTTACAAAAAGCTCTAACAAATTCAATGCAGAGCCATGGGCAAGTTTGCTCATCCCCTTATTGACGTATCCATAATAAAGCAAATTTCCATCTTTCCATTCGCGGCTTGTTTGAACGAGGTACTACAGCTATTATTGACGTACGTGTCACTGATTTGGACTGTGCCTCTTACCGCAACAAAGATCCCGTCAAAGTTTTAACCCAACAAGAACGCGACAAAATTTCCAAATATAAAGAAGCGTGCGACTCCAATCGCGCTTCCTTCCACCCCTTTGTTGTTTCAGTGGATGGCATGCTTGCCCCTCAAGCCAAGACTCTCTTACAACGCCTTGCTTCTGCTACTGCCTCCAAAACTCAATTTTCCTACTCTCAAATGATGTTCTTCATGCAGACCCGTATCTCAATTGCCCTTGTGAAAGCTACCCATTTATGTCTCCGTGGATCCCGCAAAGCCAAACCCTTTGCCCCCCGTAATGGTCCTCCATTTCTTGCCCCTGATCCCACAGAACCTAGTCCTGAATTTCGCCTGTTCTTTGCTTAAGCCTGGCCCCGGCTGGCTTCCGTAGCTAATTTCCCTACTCTAAAACCCCCTTATATATAATTTCCCTCTAATCCCTCTCCGAATTAATGTCGCCCCTGATGCAAAGAGTCTCTGTTCCGATGACGTCATAGATGCTTTATTGTGGTCAACTTACTTGCAACTTGGAACTCTCTGTCATCACGGGGGTTCAGAGCCAACACCATCGTCCCTCTTTTTATCTCATTCATTATTGTGAAGAGCTTTATTAGTCTATTGGTCAGGATTATAATAGCGATGATGTTGCGAGGTTTGGGTTGTATCAATGTGATGAGGAGAGCAGCAGTATCTCTTGAAAGAAGTAGATTTTTGTCGTCCTCCTCCTCCTCCAGGATTCGAAGTAGAAGAAGAAGAAGACGAGAAGAAGGAGTGCGAGAAATCGATGAGGACCTGCAAGCCATCATTCACGAATACGACATACAACTCGCCCGTCCTCGTAGCTTGGCGGAACTGTTGGAAGCCTCCAAGAATTCCCGCGAGGAGATCAATCATTTCTTGCGACACGAATACTTGGTCCGGAGTGCCGAACGAATTTCCATGTTTCAAGAGCGCATTGGAGTCGAGCGCATCGATCAAGTTCCTGAATTGACAAGAGCCTACAATTTGCACGTGCACTGTTTCGAGGCCATGCTGGAAGCAGGTGGCAGCAACAACAACAACAACAACAACAACAACAACAACAACAGTGATATGACACCCGTGGTACAGAACATTGTGGACCAGACGCGCTCCATGGTGCCGCTCTTGTGCACGGGCATGTCTCGGCTGGTGCGACGGGACGGCGCCATGAGCTCCTTGTTTGTCAACCAGTTTCTCAATGAGCTGCTGCTCAACCGAATTGGCAGCAATGTTCTCATGTCGCAATACTTGTCCAGTAATATTGTCGATCCTCAGGTGCGTACCGTACATGGAATCGAATCTGCAGAATTGCTGCGACCTGCCTCTTTTGTTTCTAACCTTTTTGGTTTTTCATGCTTGTATGTATCAATGAAATTCAGTGCAATGTCACTGCCATTTGTGGAACCGTTGCACGGCAAGTGCGAGAATTGTGTGCGCAAGAGACTGGATACAAACCACACATACGGATAGAATCACACTCCAGCATTGAAAATGATCCAAATCAAGTGACTGCTTCCTTTGCCTTTATTCCGGGAATATTGTCCTACATTCTGCAAGAAGTAAGTAAGCCGACAGCCCATACAAAGCAGCAGGAAGAAAAAGATCCTTTCTAACTGACTAACATTGCCATTGTCGTCATCTCTCTCTTTTATGTCTATATTGGATGACATGCAGCTGCTCAAGAACTCCGCAGTCGCCACAGCCAAACAACAGCAACAACAATACGCAAGGGACGATATTCAAAAAGCCATTGCAGTGGTGATTTGTGCCGATGAACGTCGCGTCATGATTCACATTGGGGATAAGGGCGGTGGGATTCCATTTGAAGTGGGGCAGCATATATGGTCCTACCTGTACACTACCAAAAAGCCACAACCTGATGATACTACTACTACTGATACCAACAACGCCAGTAATTTGGGAGGCTACGGAGTTGGCTTGCCTCTGTCGCGGCTCTATGCCAATTATTTGGGTGGATCCATCAAACTAGTGTCATTGCCAGGATACGGGACCCATGCCTATGTCTACTTGCCACGGCTTCCACAACATTTGGTCGAAGTCGTCCCCGAGCGTGCCAACAGCAGTCTGGAGGAAGACCCCTATTGGGTGGTCAAGAAGAACGAATTCATTCTGTAAACAAAAAAGGCAAGTATTTGCAAAGAGGTCCCCTGGTGGTAGCGTCGAGTTTGCAGGTGGCTAGCGGGCAATCCAGAGACTTATTACCAAGTCATCAAGAGAATGAATAGCCCCACCACTGTCGACAAGGGCAATCTTGGATACCGGTACGGCGTCAAAGCATTGGAACAACGATACCCCTTACAATACTCCGCCTACTATGTATGGATTCATCCTCGTTTCGATTCGGATGCAGACGGCGCATGGGCAACCCTAGAGCACACGATGATGGGTTGTCGTATTCGTATCCAGGGAATCACACCCTTTCGCGACGTTCCGTACCAGTGGTGCCCACCGCTTGCATCACCCAGGGCCCATAGATGCTACTGCCACCGTGCTGGTGGGTTGGGCATACGGAGCCCTCTACCTGTCTAGTGTAGACAAGATCTTTACACGAAGCCATGCAACAAGCGGAATCGCTATCACATGCACACGTGTTCCGTATAGCAATAGACAGTAAAGTGAATTGGACCAATGGCGATGCGACCGGGATGTTGGAAGGAATGCTGGGATGGGTGATTTGTGCTGGAAGGCGATGGTGCCCCCAAACTAAACTCGTTACGACGGAAGTTGTTGATTGCGTGAACTTGGTTTCCCAGCACTGTGGGGCCTCTTCAGGAGTGCCAATATTTCCGATTTGAAGTTCGGTTGCAGTTTGGCAGAATGCAATCCGGAAAACCCACTGACCTGGCGTGATGTTTGGTTGCATCATTCGTGTGGAATTGTTCATCCTCTAAAGCTGTTTCTTATTCGGCTACTTCTGTCAGGGGCAACGCAACATCTAGTTCTTCAGCAAGCATCCTCCTCGAAGTGGAAATGGTAGTTACTAGCTAGGCGGTTAGAGTGGACTATGGACTCCGAGAGGACAAGTGCAATGGGCAAGAAGGCGAGCCGAAGAGCCAAGAGAGCGGACCAACCGAAGGAGGAAAGGAATGAGGACAGTCAGTGAAAGGAGAATGAATCAAAAGACAAAGACTACGGTAGGGCCACGATCGTCCCAATGCTGGGAGCTCATAGCAGGAACACGAGAGCCACCTCCTCGAAGTGCAATGTGCTACACTTACCGGTAGCACCTCTGGCCTGCCTCGGGAGCATTGATGGAGACGTGGATACTCCAAGGAGGGCGACGCCGAAGGTGCCCACACTTTCTCACTTCACACTTTTCGCACTTTCTTCTCATGACGTCACAGATTGATTCATTGGGAGACACCTTCCGGCATTGAAGGCCGAATCTGTGTCAACCAATCAAGCAACAGAGGGAGTCTTATTCTCACCCATCAAAGGGAGCCCGCTGCAGCATTACAGTACAATCCCATCACATCTCACCATGTGTCCGCCTTTGTCGCTTGAAAAGCAGAGTCTCTTGGACTGCACCGTCGACATCGAGGCCGCAAGCGTGGTGACGACGACTACCATGATCATTGTGGCGCTATACGTGCTGTCAGGATGCAGTCAACCGATTCTTATGACGGTCTTACGGCAGGCTGGACTGGCCGACAGCAATTGTCAAGTGTACATGCTGTTTTACTATCTGGGTACCGCATCGGCCATTTTCACACTGCCACATGCCTCCCAGTGGCCCTCCAAGAGGACCATGGCCAAGGCGGCCGGCATTGCCCTGTGGGACATTTGTGCCCAGACCATGAATTACACCGGTGCCGCTTTGACGGGACCCACCATCTTTGCCATTATCTACGCCAGTGTCACAATTTGGGCTGCCATATACTCGCAAGTCTTTTTGGGGAGACGCATGAATACGTTTCAATGGTGTGCTGTCATTCTCGTCTTTGGTGGACTCGCCTTGACGGCCAATGATTCGGTGGAAACGGGCAGCACGGGGATTATCCATGGACTGATACTGGTCGTTGCTGGATCCAGTATGCATGGGTTATTCTATGTCATGAGCGAAGCCGTCATGACCACTGGCACTAGTCCGCAGGAACGATTGACTGTTCCTCAAAACTGCGCTGTCCAAGGAATGACGGCATCCGCGTGCTTTGCCGTGTGGCAGTTCCTATACACCCTGCCCCATTTCGAAGCAAGACTGTTGGAACCCATGCAAACGGCTGGAACGTCGCTGCTGCAAGCGTTGTTCTTGTTGGTCATCTTTGGAGCTGTTAGTTTTGTGCATTCCATCACCTTTTATCATACCCTGCGGCATTTACCAGGGGGGTCCACCAGTGCCGGGGTTTTCAAGGGACTACAGGCCGTTCTGGTCTTTGTCTTTACCCATGCCATGTAAGTGAAAGTGGCAGACATACATGATACACTGTCGTCATTCTTTCTCCCGCTTTGAAACCTCTTGATTCTCACATCGTGCCAATGTTCGGCGTTTTCTTTGGTACAGTTTTTGCCACCGAGTGGGAGGACCCGAAATGTGCTTTACACAAATCAAGTTGTTTTCGCTCGTTACGGTGGCCGGTGGTGTGGCTTGGTACGGCCATGCCACTTCCAAAATCAAGCAGCACATCACACACACATCGTCATCCACCCTACAATCTAAAATGAAGCTTCGCGACGGCGGGAGCTATCACTCCATCATGCAACAAGAGACGACTGTGATTGAGATTGAACCCATTGCTAGTACTGTCGATGCTACCCGGCAACCACAAGGCTAGCAAATAGAGGACAACACACTTTTCTAGTAGTATCGAACCAACTCTAGCTAGAGCTACTATACAAGCATGCACTTCAATCCACTCCAGATCGATTCAAGATGAGCCATTTTTGTATTTAGTATACATCGAAGTGCATACCGGTATCTAGTTCTAGCTAGAGCGACGAGTCGTCAGTGAAGTAAGTACCCTGGAGCACCGTTAATGCACGCACCAACATCGTTGGTGGTACGATGAATCGAGATGTCCACTCGTACCGTACTGCGCTTCGCTTGGTGACGAACGTGGTTCCATGTCGTGCTGAAAAAGTCTCTTCTTCAAGCAGGTTCCTCACTGCATGATCACATTTGTCCTTGGTAAGCGTGGATGAGTCAGTCGAGTGATGGCTTCGGTGGTGCATGTATGCAAACACCTACCGGTATGCATAAATGACCGCGGGGCAACCTAACCAATGGTATAGCAATCCAAAACCCGAGCATGCATGGTCATGCGAGCAATGCAATGCCCAATGCAGCAGCGGAAACACAGTAGGCAAAACCGAAAACTCTTTTCGCTCGTTAAGGTGGCCGGTGGTGTGGCGTGGTGTGGTCGTGCAAAACAAGCAGCAAATCACACACACATCATCCACCCTACAATCCGAAATGAAACTTCACCATGGCGGGAGCTACCACTCTATCATGCAACAAGGGACAACCGCGATTGAGATTGAACCCATTGCTAGTACTGTCGATGCTACCCGACAACCACAATGCTAGCTAGCAAGTAGAGGACAACAAACGGTGCTCTTGTCGAGCCAACTCTATCTATGGAGCAACTTTACATACAAACATACACCTCAATCCGCTCCAGATCGCTTCAAGATGAAACCTTTTCTGTGTAGTATACATGTATTCATCGAATTGCAAGAACTAGATATCTAGTTCTTGCAAGAGTCGACAGTGATCCGCAGTACCGTGAGTACAAGCACCAACAACCTTGGTGGCATGATGAAGGGACGAAATGCCCATCGTACTGCTCTTCTCTTGGTGACAAACGTCGTTGTGCTTGGTTCCTTGTCGAGCTGAAAAAGTCGAGTCTCTTCTTCAAGCCAGGTTTCTCACTGATCTCATTTGTTCTTGGTGACCGTGGATGATGAGTTCCTTGATGCATTGATGCCACCAAAGAAGCCAAACCTTTTCATGATGTTGCGGTAACTACGTAGCAAACGCAGGGGATCGGCTGCATGGGTGAAAATGGGCATCCAAATACAAAACTGGGTCGCATTGACGCCAACAATGCAGGCCCCAGACCAGGCACAAGCCAGGCCAGTGAAATTGAGCAAGAAAACGATCCAGGAATCTGAAAGTGACAGGGCTGAGTCATGAAGCTGTCCAATCTCATAGTAGCGCCTGTAAGCCCAGTCCCAGACATGGTTCAACACAAAATCCAATGCAGGAGTGTTGAGATCAGTAAAGTTGCTGAAACGTGTATCTTGGCTGTAGTCATGGTGCTTTTTGTGGTGCTCCTTGGAAGGGCAGAGGCCAAGAGGAGCATACACAAAGCAGACCAGCAACCGAACAAACCTGGGAAGACCCTTGGTATGACCATGAGCATGGTGGTGTGATCCAGCCTCCATGATCCAGGAAAGAAGGAACCACCCAGTCAAGAGACGAGTATGGCTGCATTGGCAACATAAGTAGAAAAGGCTGGCGTACTTGAAATACTCATACCACATTCTGCCTTTTTGACGAATCGATGGCAAGCACATGATCAATAGTTGACTTGTAAATGTATCAGCTGAGTGAGGGCTTCGGTGATGAATGTATGCAAACACATAGAAGGCTGTGCGGCAACCAGACCAATGATAATCCAAGACCCGAGAATGCAGGCTCATGTGAGCAATTGCAAATGTAGCAGCTGAAACGTAGTAGCCAATAATGGCAGCCATGACAACCTGCAACACTGAAAACTGTGGAGCTGTTTCAATGATGAGGGCGAGGGAGCATAACAAAATAAAGTCTGCGATTTGATTCACACGAGCCCTGAACTGTGCCTGGCCTTCAGAGCTGAAAAGGTTTGGGATCCCCCAAGTGAGGAATGAGTTGTTCCAAAAGGACAGCCAAAATTTGTTGACAGCGTTGTTTTCGTCGTTGCTATAGGTGTTCATGGGTCGGCAAACTCCTTGAAAGTTCTTGAACTTTGCTGTCTTTGCATGGTATTCCTCGCAAACCTTCGGGCTGCCGCTGCCACTTTCGAAAGCGCAATTGATGCTGCTTTGATTAACCTGGTGCTGGGCATCTCCGCCATTGGTGGCTCGGTATATACACATTGTTGTTGCTTGCCTCGGGTTGCGTGGTGGTTGGTTGCTTTTCTGGATTTGGTTTTATGAAGGGACCACGGTTTGCCAGACAACTTTCGTGGATCTTCGTTCGTGCGGAGTCCTCTTTGGCCAGGTACCTGGTACTCCAGTAGTGTCTAAGTCAACTTGAACCTACAGGACCGGCAGTGGTGATCTAAGGGCCTGTTCGCCTACCTATCATTGTTTCCGATAAATGGCTGTTCCTGTACCAGGTACATGTACTGTAAGAGCACCGATTAATCGTGGCTCTTAAAGCTTCTTCCTTCGTTTTGTTCATTCCGAGTTCCCAGTCGAGTGAGACGAGAATGAGACGAGAATGAGACGAGAATGAGTCACAGTGTTTAATTAAGGGCAGGAAGTGGCTATGCATGCTTCTGCCTCAATCGGTGGCTGGGCTCAATCAGTGGGCCCAATGGCGAGGGCAGTGCGGGAACGTCAACACTAGTACAGTGCGAGGCAGGATGCACTGAAGGATTTGCTCTTGAAGACGTGGCGGAAGTCCCGAGGCCCTTGGAGCAACACTGCTTGACTCAAGTCGGCACAGACAGAAAGAACAGTGGCGCCCAGTTTCGAGAGCACCAACAAAACTATCATAAAAAAGAACCCAACGCCACCACGATTGTGATCAAAGGAGGAGCCTCTCTAATCCAAGAGAAATAGGAGTAGCAAAACGGGCAAAAGAATTGCAATGGCAAAGACTATCCAACAAGAGCGAAAACCCGTGGAGTTCTCAACCATCCTTGAGGCACTCAACATCATGCTTCCGAGACCCCTGACAAGGTTATCTTCACTGGGTAACAAAGTGTGAGGAGCAGAACAAGATGACATTCAAACACCTGGAAGACCAGTCGAATGCTGTGGCTGCTCATCTCCGCAAGCTTGGATGCAAGAAGGGAGACTGTGTCATGGTGGCCTATCCTTTTGGCCTGAGTTCTTGGCTGGTATGTTTGGTGCGATGAAGATTGGAGTAATCCCTTGCTCCATCTATCCACCGAATCCCAATCAGCTCAAGATTGACATGCCCAAATTCCGCAGATTTGCTGAAGATGCCGGGGCCAAATTTGCCATTTCTACCGGCATGTTTGCTGTCGCGATGACTGCAGCTAGTATTCTCTACAAGACTGGTGTCACGTGGATTGGGACTGACAAATTGCCGCTCAAGAAGAGCAACCCAAGCAAGCCAAAGATATGAGATTTGTTGGGGAATATCTGCTTCATACAATACACATCTGGAAGTACTGGCCGACCAAAAGGAGTGATTATAAGTCATCACAATCTAACAGAAAACTGCATGGCCCTTGTTAAAATGTCCCATGCACTTACACATCCATCAGATTCTGTTTGTGCATTGTGGGTCCCACAATACCATGGTAAGTTTTAGACAAACTGACAATCTATTGTTGAATTCATTACGGTCGAACCTAACCTTTTTTCCATCACTGTGAAGACATGGGTCTTGTTGGTGGTTTCATGTCTGGTCTCTATTCTGGCACTCGCCTTGTTGTGGCATCTCCTTTGGACTTCCTTGCCAGACCACTTCTGTGGACTGATATGGTGGAGATGTACCAGGCCACGCATACTTGTGCCCCTAACTTTGCCTATGCACTGCTTCTTAAGAGACTGGAGCAAGCCAATAGGAAAGCCAACTGGAGTTGTGTAAAGCGTGCCATGTTTGGGGGTGAACCAACCCAGAGCCATGTTGTGCAAGCAGTGGCCAAAACGCTCTCTATCGAGCCTGACCATATCTACAACAACTACGGACTGGCTGAGGCTGTTCTGTTTCTCACTGGGGGACCCGCCTTCCCTGATTCTCAGGGGCTGGTCTGTTGTGGAGAAATAGACTCTCCAACCTTCAAGCTTCGAATTGTCCAGGATGGAAAAGAGGTCGAAGATGGTCAGGTTGGAAGCATTTGGGCCCAGTCACCCCGTATAGCTGCTGGGTATTTTGGCCAACCAAAACTGACCCATGCTACTTTTGCCAATGAACTGCCTAATTATGATGGCACATGGCTTGATACTGGAGATTTGGGCAAGATCGTGGATGGGAAGCTCTATGTCACTGGCAGAGTCAAGGATGTCATCATTATCAATGGCAAGAACTATTACCCAACTGATGTGGAGCTCTCTGTTGATGAAACCTTTGGTGACATAATCCGTCCAGGGAGGACCACGGCATTCCAGCATGGAGAAGAGTTCATTGGTATCACCGTAGAAGGCCGGAAGGAGTTTGACAAGGTAGCACACAAAGACTTGGCTGCACAGATAGCCAACCATGCATCTCAAGTCCATGGGTTGTTTGTGTCGGAGGTACTGGTCCTCAAGCTGGGTGTGACACCCAAGACGACATCTGGCAAGCTTAAGAGGAGCGAGATTAGGACAACAACGTTAGCTGGAGAATGGAAAACATCCAATATCCTTCTAAGATTCCACCGCAGTAGTGGTATTGTTCCGATTGTCAACAGGAATAGAGTGAAGGAACCTTGCTCCCACCTGGCAAATACTTCTAATTCCACCAAGGCCAGTGGGGTGGAGCTTCCCAAAAACTTCGACAGTGTTGTCGCCTCCATCATGGGCCCAGAGTTAAACAAATCCAAAACGTGGACAGAAAATGGACTCACATCCCTCAAGAGTGCTGAGTTGAGGAGCAAAGTGGAGGAGGACCTGCACGAAGTACTCCCAGCAAATTTTGCTCAGCTCTATGAAACTCCTGGGCTGTTGGAGCTCTTCTTGGCCAAATCAGAAACTGGCCACTTCAAAAGACAAGACCCCGCCAAGCATGCAGATTTTGTTGGGAGCTCACCAGGAGAAAAATTTAATATCAGCAAACTACAGCTTGGTGTCCTCCAAACCATTGGATCAACTGTAATTCTTCTGCTGGTTTTGATCTCGGTTGTCCCATCATACTTCCTGGTTTCCTGGGCGATGGAACACTGTGACTCAGATGAACTTGAAGTTGGAGAGTGCCATAATCCAGTCTTCTGGGTGTTCTTGCCCTTGGCCTTTCCTCTATTCCTACTATCATTTTCAGTGCTTGTGGTACTATGCAAGTTTGCTGTTATTGGGAAGTATCTGCCCAGACAATTTGGTCTCTTGTCGTGGGGCTTCTTGTGTTGGTGGTTTGTTGATAGGCTCCTGGATATTTGGGAATCACTTGTTGGGCAGTTTCTATTGGAGACAAAGTTCATTTGGATCTTCTACAAGATTCTTGGAGCAAAGCTGGCATGGTCTGCCAAGATTGAATCCTATCTTCGAGAGTTTGACCTGGTGACAGTTGGTGACAATACTGTCATCAGCCACCCTATGAAGTGCCGGAAATTCTCTCATTCAAATGGAGATGGCAACCCCAAGATAAAGTTCTATCCGATTATTGTCGGAAAGAACTGCAAGATCTCTGGCATGGTTAGCCCTGGGGCCATGATTGGAGATGGCAGCAAGGTGGAGAAATTGTCTGTTGTGGGTGAGGGAGCCATTGTACCAGATAGTGTCCTTGCTCAGGGAAATCCAGCATACAATGCTGGCTCATTTGAACATCAAGAATCACTCCATTTTGTTGGAGAGTCCATGTTGGATATCTTCAAGATATTCTGGATAGTCCTTGAGGCATATCATTTCTTTGCCCTCTCCTTCTTGGTCCATGTCTCGTTGAACTCAATCTTGCCCTCCTGGCGCTATGCTACAATACTCCATTGGATTTTGCTGTTTCCCGTCTCCTCCCTGCTTGCACTTCTCACAAGCATTGCTCTCAAATGGGTACTAATTGGGAAACGAGACCCATCAGATGAATATGAAGGGTCACTCTATCGCCGGGCAACCAATTGGGCATGCGACTTCCACTTCCGGACTGCAGCTTGGACTCTTACTCCTTTCTGTGGCCAGTCCAGACTTTGGAACATAATCCTCGTATTGCATGGTCTTGATATTGACATGGATTCAGGGCCTGACAATCCATACCTCATCTTCCCACCCTCAAAGGCTGATTTTGTGAAGATCAGAAAGTCATTTGTGGCAACTATTTCACTTGACTTTAGCAAGAAAGGGAACTCCAAGGTTGAGATCATCAACAGCAGTGTCGGCTACAACATCAATCTACATGCAGGAGTTAAGATCATGCAATCCACAGTTCCTCCAAGGACCAATGTACCTGACAGTATCTATGACTTGAACCAAACAGGTCAGCCCATTAGAATGAATTTGGTTCTTCCAGAAGTGGCACAGGTGTTGTTGAATGCAGTCCTGTTTGCCTCCCTCATTCCTTCCTATGAACTGGGTCTTGTTGCAACCAAGAGTGCTTCCATCATGGTCACATCCTGTGGCTTGGCAGCTGCCTTCATCCTGCAATTGCTCCTATGGCTGCTCTTGACATGGGCAGTTGAGAGGTTGCTATTGGCCTTGCCCAACCATCTTCAATTTAACCTCTTTGGGATCTACCTCAACCATGTCTGGATTTTCCGCAATCAAAACTGGCTTGTGTACCTTCTCTATGGCACACCCATGTTTGCCTACTTTGCTCGCTTCATGGGAGCTGAAGTGGATGGAGAGTTGTGGTACTTTGGCAACACACTTTATGAATGTGGCAAGCTTCATTTCAAAGGATGCACTGTTATTGACAGCTCCAGCTTGAATGGCCACTACATTGATGGCAAGGGGCTAACAATAAATGACACCTATGTGTCTGGTGTGGTGCATCCTGGATGCTTTGCTGTTGCTGGCTCTGTAGTTGTTGGTGAAGAAAATGGTCCATGGAAGGTCTTTTTGAACAACAACAACAACAACCATACAGCAGCAGACTTTGCTTCTATTGCCAAGCCAACAACAAGTGACGACGCACAATTCGTGGATGAAGCTTTGGCTTCAGCTGTTTAATTAATAATTCATTTTTCCATTTAGCAAACAAGACCTGCTCCATCTAGCTACCGGTAGATGAGGCTGGCTTTCACCTGTTTTGTTCTGAAAGTAACGGCAGTGTTGTGGCAGATGAAGCACCAAGGGGATTGAATCAATCATTCACCTTGCTTGTGAAATTGGATTTGTCGCATGCTAGCCATCTAGCAAGGAAACGCTGAGGTTTAATCAAAGGAAATACCTGCTTGTTTTGCTCCTGGGTCTCTATGGCATAAAGCGACGAGCAAATGTTGGGGCGTGCTTGTTATATTGTCACCGTGACCATGCAACAGAACCTGTGATGAACCACCAAACCCGTTACAAAACAGATCGCTGGCTTTGATTTGGATCTCTAGCTAGCTATAGCTGGCTTCCAAGCAACAAGACTTGGACCAGCAAATTTATCAAGAAAGAGAAAGAAGGTGCATGATTCCGGCCGTCTGACGGCAACCGTCAACCGGAATCTAGTCCTCCACCCATGCTACAATCTACAGATATACAGAGACAACAAGTAGCTTTTCCTCATAATCATATAACATCATTCGTATAATCTATCGCTACCTTTAGTCTCTTCAACAGATGTTATAAGATCCTTCTATACAAGCCGATACCACACCGATCCGCTACACTGATCGAACGAACGCACCTCTAACCTCGAACGAACCTCTACCCTCGAACAGAACGACGAAAGATACCGCACCTCTATCGACCGAACGACACGACGCACCCCTATCGACGAACGAACCTCTACCCTCGAACGAACGCACCTCTATCGCTCGACGAACGCACTTCTATCGACCTGAACGAGCCACGCACGCACTCTATCCTCGAACCTCTATCGATCGAACGACACGACGCACCTCTATCCTCGAAACCACTATATCCTCGACCACCGGAACGGACGAACCGGATAGCCGGCACCTCATATTCGAACCCGCCTCCTCAAGAATCCTCGAAACCTGATACCAAGCCTTACCACATCGTACCGTTACTATCCAACCAAACACCAACACCAACCAACCTACAACACCACTACCCACACATACAACACCTAGACACACAGGCCATAAACGTCCGACAAAGGGAACTAAATATACCCTTGTCGCCCAACTTCAAATCAAATTCTACCCTCTCCTACACTGACCACCACTACACCAACTGATGCAATGCCACACCCCATCATCACACCAATCATTGGCAAACCTGACCAGAGGAAGCTATCCCTCCTCATCTCTCAGGTTCTCGCAAACACCAGAGCTATCGCCAGTGAGTACCACGGCGAACCGATCGCGCCAGATTAGGCCACGCCCCACACCATCCTTAGCCCGCACAAGGCACAGCACAAATCCCACTGCAGCCGAAACCGCAACCCAACGTAAGCCAACCCACGTTGCATCGTATCGTCACGATCAAAACCAACCAAAACCTCATAAAATAAGCCTAAACCAACGCCACCCAAGCACTCCTGTACCGCCACGACCAAACATACAAAAATGAAACTGGAATTTATACCACAAAACAAGGCCAGAGATCCATCCAGCAGATTTATAGAGACCCGCCATACAGTTAACGATACTTACACAAAGCCCCTCAAAGATCGCATGTCGGGATACCAAACATAACCCACCGGCAAAAAACAACCAGCCATTTGAAACATCATTACCCATCTAGTGACCATATACGGTAAAATCACAGAGAATGATCTCCTTGCCAATCGTTAACTCCTCACCCAGCCTTGTACTCCACCCACAGACATCGTGGAACTCTTTGATAATATTGACACCTGCATCGCCTTCTCAGTAGAAGGCGGAGATTTCATTAGTGACCGCAACGCTGTCAGCGCCGGAGTAGGCACTCTACAAGCCACGGGCCTATTCATTCAACCCATCCGAGAATGGAACAAACGTACACCAGAAAACCGCAACCTCACCCACTTCAAAGAATACTTTCGTGATGCCGAAAACGTCCGCCAGACCGAAACCAATGTCAGCGCCGCAGGCTAACACCAACGAGCCAACGCAACCATCACGGACACCCAAACACTTACCACCGGGACTTCTAAGCTCACCCATCCACAACTCATCGACATAGCCACGATCAACAGGATCGTCCAAGAGTCAATTCGAGAGTCCCAAGCAGCAAACGCAACCACCACCAAGCGGCACCCAGACCGACTCGCCCCAACCCCGACGGCTCTCGAACATACCCCACGAAGCCAATCATCCTACGATCGTTCCCGGCTCTCACGGGCAGCCGAACTCCCGGTAATGGTCTCGCCAATGGGAAGCACGTAACTAGTGGTGACTTGGACTCCTTCTCCCTGGACAAGATGTTTACCTGCCACACCACCCAGCCCACAAACAAACGATGATACGTTTGACACAGCACTTTACCAAACCGAGAGACTGGTTCCACAGACATCCAAGGCTCACCGCACAAAGGGCAATTAATGCGCGAGCAGAAACAGACCGAACAACTGCTGCATACCAGCCCGACCCCCAATTTGCTCTCGGAAAACTTGGTTAGGGTTTGGGCCCTGTTCGAGGACGGCCTCACTGTCAATCTAGTATAGACATCAGGTCTCATCGGATGGGATCAATAAGTATTCGCGCCGACAGATTCTCGACAGGTATGACACAGAGAACAACTAAGCTATCGTACTGTCGGGCGAGCTCGTCCAGAGTTATGTTTTGCTCCTACTCCCACGCGCAACAAAGACACGAGCAATATACACAAACTCACCAATTCCGGGAGTCATTAATCTATTTATATAATATATAAAAA